AGTGAAAGTACACTACTATACAGTGTATTGTATAGAGAGAGTACACTACTACACAGTGTATTGTATAGAGAGAGTAAACAACTATACAGTGTATTGTATAGTGAAAGTACACTACTATACAGTGTATTGTATAGAGAGAGTACACTACTACACAGTGTATTGTATAGAGAGAGTAAACAACTATACAGTGTATTGTATAGTGAAAGTACACTACTATACAGTGTATTGTATAGAGAGAGTACACTACTACACAGTGTATTGTATAGAGAGAGTAAACAACTATACAGTGTATTTATTGTATGATGAGAGTATGCTACTATACAGTGTATTGTATAGTGAAAGTACACTACTATACAATGTATTGTATAGTGAAAGTACACTACTATACAGTGTATTGTAGTAAACAACTATACAGTGTATTGTAGTAAACAACTATACAGTGTATTGTAGTAAACAACTATACAGTGTATTGTAGTAAACAACTATACAGTGTATTGTATAGTGAAAGTACACTACTATACAGTGTATTGTATAGAGAGTAAACAACTATACAGTGTATTGTATAGAGAGTAAACAACTATAGTGTATTGTATAGAGAGTAAACAACTATACAGTGTATTGTATAGTGAAAGTACACTACTATACAATGTATTGTATAGTGAAAGTACACTACTATACAGTGTATTGTAGTAAACAACTATACAGTGTATTGTATAGTGAAAGTACACTACTATACAGTGTATTGTATAGAGAGTAAACAACTATACAGTGTATTGTATAGAGAGTAAACAACTATACAGGGTATTTATTGTATGATGAGAGTACGCTACTATACAGTGTATTGTATGATGAGAATACACAACTATACAGTGTATTTATTGTATGATGAGAGTACACAACTATCCAGTGAATTTTATATTGAAGTACACTACTATACAGTGTATTGTGTAGTGAGAGTACACTACTATACAGTATATTCTACAGTTACAACACCTTTTAAATGAAAGACTTACAAGATCCTCTCCAAATGTTTGCTATATATATATAAATACCTTAAAACACTATGTTTAACTGTGGTAGTTCAGAGTGATGTAGTAAAATACTCTCAACCAATATTCTTCGTTACAACACCTTTTACCCCTTATCATCCTAAATGTTTGGTTTTAGGGCTTAGTAAAAGTATCCCCACTTTAGATTTGGACTCTATCTTGATAACAATAACTAAACAAACAAATACACACTTACCTCACTACAACAGTAAAAGGCTGCCGAGCTAGCCTGTCCACTTCTTCAATTGACACCTGATCAATCTTGTTAAAGGCATACAAGCAGGGTAAATATACACGGTTTCGAGCAATTACATCAATAAATTCATCTGGACTGCAGTCTTCTCTAAACAGGACTTCTGCATTAAATATTTCTGATCATACATGTTAAGTGAGCAATCTCCCACACTTCTGGTAAGGCATTACTATACTTGTATGAAAAAATCATTAATTACTGTATTATTTAGGACTATACCAAAATATGAAAATCATTAATAACTGTGTTACTTAAGACTATATCTAAATATGAAAATCATTAATAACTGTATTATTTAGGGCTATATCTAAATATAAAAAAACATACATTACTGTATTACTTAAAGTCTACACCTTAATATGAAAATTATTAATAACTCTATCACATAAGAACATAGCTAAATATACAAACATTACTTAAGACTACACCCAAACATATAGCACTTATTACAGCATTATTTAAAACAAAGATAAATAAATAGCTTTTATTATGTTATTACTTAGGATGAAATCTGAATATAAAACATTACAGTATTACTTAAGACTAAACATGAATATAAAACATTACAGTATTGCATCAGATTAAATAAACCTGAATATATAAAAACTACAGTGTTACTTAGGACTATACCTCAATATAAAACATTACAGTATTACTTAGGACTATACCTTAAAATAAAACATTACAGTATTACTTAGGACTAAACCTCAACATAAAAAAAACTACGGTGTTACTTAGGACTATACCTCAATATAAAAAACTACAGTATTACTTAGGACTAAACCTCAATATAAAAAAACTACAGTGTTACTTAGGACTATACTTCAATATAAAAAACTACAGTATTACTTAGGACTAATCCTCAATATAAACAAACTACAGTGTTACTTAGGACTATACCTCGATAAACAAAAGTACCCTTCCCCATTGAAGGGAAAAGTTTAAGTTAATCTATCAATTTAGATTATTTCATGGTCTTTGAAAAGGTTAATTGTGTTGCATTACTGGTTTCACTCAGAGCCAAAGCTTTGAACTACTTATACCACAAAAGTAATTGTTCTGCATTTCAGTCATACTGAGAGCTGCTCCACAATAACATACAGTAAATCTACACTTTTATTCTTGAAGTTATGTCACATTTTGAAATATGAAGGATAGTGTGACTAATTCCTAACAATTTAGTGTAGAATATTCTGCTTGCGAAATAAAATTTGGCATCATCATTATTCATGCCTGTTCTCCTGTCATTTCAAAATTGAATATTGAGCTTTCCCTGCTTGAGCAGCTTTTCAAATGCAGTGAGGGAAGTGGCTGATAAAAACGAGAGGCAGACAAACATTCATACAGACACCATGGTTTGCAATATATTTAAGATATGAAATATTATACTATTACTTAGGACTGAACCTGGATATAAAACATTACAATATTACTTAAAATTACACCTGAATATAAAACATTACAGTATTACTTAAGAATAAATCTAAATATAACTTTCAACTTTTTTATGCAAGTCATATGTCAATGAAACTTCCCACAAATCATCCTAATAATGTTTTATTACATTTACTTTATATGCTCATTTTTTCTTAACTGCAATGTGTCAAGAAAGCGATTAGGTGTGAAGCTTAAAAACAAAAGATACTGTACTCATCTAGGGCAAACCACAATAAGAAAGGATATTCTAGTCACGTAAAATAAACCACACCAAGAGAGAATACTGTACTCATGTAGGACAAATCAGAAAAAAAAAGGATACTGTACTGAGGTAGGACAAACTACAACAAGAAAGGATACTGTACTCAGGTAGGACAAACCACAACACGAGAGGATACTTTACTCATGTAGGACAAACCACAAGAAGAGAGGATACTGTACTCAGGTAGGATAAACCACAACATGAGAGGATACTGTACTCATGTAGGATAAACCACAACACGAGAGGATACTTTACTCATGTAGAACAAACTACAACAAAAAAAGAAAACTGTACTGAGGTAGGACAAACTACAACAAGAAATGACACTGTACTCAGGTAGGACAAACCACAACACGAGAGGATACTTTACTCATGTAGAACAAACTACAACAAGAGGATACTGTACTCATGTAGGATAAACCACAAGAAGAGAGGATACTGTACTCATGTAGGATAAACCACAACAAGAGAGGATACTGTACTCATGTAGGATAAACCACAACAAGAGAGGATACTGTACT